TTTTTAAGATTATTTCCAAATTTTTACTTATTGTTACACAGAAGTAAAATTTACTTTGTTTTGATTTTCTATTGTCAAAAAAAATTGAGATTGTCTAAATTAACCTAAGAATTACATTCATTTATCTTGTAGAATCTTGTTGGTTTTCAAGATACATAACCATACTGTCTATAAATAATAGTTGTATTTCTTTCTATCTTTTTTAATTTTTAAAAATTGATATATAATTCACATACAATAAAATCACCCTTTTAATGTGTACCATTCAATGGTTTTCAGGATATTCAGAAGGTTATGCAACCACCACCATAATCTAATTCCAGAAAAATTTGATCATCCCCAAAAGAAACCCTGTTCCCATTAGCATTTACTCCCTAGGCCGTGTTCCCATTAGTCCTGGCAGCCACTAATCAATGACTTCCTGAAACACTGCTTTTGCTAAAATTTATTTATTAAATAATCACTGTGTAGTTATTATGTACTAGGCACTGTTTTAGGTATTAGGGATTTGATATTAAATAAAATAAGGTTCTTCCCTTTGAGGAGTAAAGAAAAGCAAATTAAAATAATATCTTTACAATAAAAGAAATACATACTCAGATACATTATCCAGATACATAATTAAGCAGGATGCAAAAAAAGTGTAAATTTTTACAATAAAACGTGGAATTTCGAGGAATTCTTCCTGTTAAAACAGATCACTTCAAGCTATGCCCCAGCCCTTGGTGATATTCTCATTCTCCTCTGATTGCAGCCAACAAGGGTACAGGAAAAGGCTAAGAAACTTGCTACAGTGTTCACCTATGTATATGATTATAGATTAAGCTAGCAAACCAAAAGGCTTGCTTTCTAGCCTAGGCACAAATACTGTCCAAGGCATTATAACTTAGTATTCAATGGCTTCAGCCATCCATTCAACTAATGCGTATTGAGATTCTCCTTAGTACACTGTGAAAGACACAAAACATGTATCACATACAATCCTGATCTTAAAAATTTTACTTAAACCACTACAACATATAAGCAAATGTAACAATATATGAGAGTTTTAAAGAAAAAGGTAAATCACCTCTGAAAAATGAGAAAATTCTTCCATGATGAAAATTTGAACATTCTATTAATAAAATGATCTTTTATAAAAATATTTATGTCAACATAGAATTTACATTTGGATCATCTAAATCTCTGGTACCTGCAAATATGATGAGATATTTTTAAAAAGAGTTGAATTCATCCATTATGTAATGTAAATACAAGTTAACTGCTGACTCACTTTTCAGTGCCTCATTCACTTGTACCTTGTGGTTAGCTGCATGATACCAGATGATCTGGGCGCCATCTTCTGCTGTGATCTGGTTATTTCTCATAAAATATTCTAGTATATTTTCACTCCAAGATCCTAAAATAACAGCATTTATATTAAAAAAATTGTTTTTTATGGAGTAAAAATTTTTTTCAATAAAAAACAGTACAACATATATTGAGAGAGAATAATAAAGTAATAAAACTGGGGAAAAGATAAGATTTTAAACAAGTATTATTAAGTGGCAAGTATAAAAAATATATATTTACATATAAATATGCTACATAAGATGTAAATAATAATTAGTAAACATATAGGATAGTCTGAGCCTCAGAAGCATGAGGAAATATGTAGGAGGGAAAAAAACTGGTAAGAAGCAGATATTTTAAAGGAGGTATTTTCACATTATCTTTTCCAATCCTGGCACCATAAATAAGTAAACTGTATATAAAGCCAAAGCCACACTAAAAACTTCTAAATTTTGTAGAATTTAATTATTTTCTCCATCTGAGGCTCCATTCTATATTTATATTAACAATTTAGAATCTTAAATTACACATTTAACCATATTCACCTTCAGATTATGAGTCTAAGCAACATTTACACAAGTGACTAAACTCCTGAGTTAGTATTTATAGATGTATCTAGCATGTACAAATACACATACATCCCACATCTATCGACTACTCCAGTTTACGGCAGACCAGATTTTCTCTTAATTAGTAATTAAAATGTGAGTTAACCAAAACTAAAATACTTGAATCAAGTCTACTCCATTTTATGCCATATTCCAATACACCAGGGAGAAAAGGCTCAAAAACAGTGAAAAGTTATTTAAAATCCTACCTCCCCAATTCTTGTTCATTCATTTAAACATTTAAGTGTCTACCAAGTGACTGCAAATTTCCTATGCATTAGATTCTGTCTTCTGGTAGTTATTTATTAACTCCTCCTAATGATAGTTAAAAACCTAAAAATGGCCGTTAAGAAACTGCTGATGACATTGAGAAAAAGTAAAATTTGATTAGAGAATGAAGGAGCATATAAACATAACTTCAAACAAACATGCATGGAACTTAGCAACCACTCTGTATATTGGGCTAGAGAATAAAGAGAGAGCTGTAATGTCCACTATCCCCCAAGCAGTCTCCTGACCTTACAAATGCAGATGAAAATACAGGGTCATCATTTTTTAAATGTTTTATTTAAGCATTTTTAAAAAGCATATTAATTATTGGCTAAAACAGTTATGTCCAACAATAGGAAATAATTAAATCACAGTATATCCTCATGATAAAATATGTAGTTGATGTCGCTGTTAAAATGAAAAGTTTTTGAGATACACCAAAAGTCTCACAGAGATGGTAATCATGCATGCTACCAGGATAAAAAAAAGTTAGTTAATAGTGCGTATGGGATGTTACCTTCAACTAAACACATTGCATTCAAAATTTTTATAAGGGTAACTTACAGATTAATAATATCATGATTCTAGAAAGTAAAAATATTTGAAGTAAAAAGTTTTCCTTGTCCTGTTAATGAGTGAATCTTCTACCTTACACCTAGTCACAACTATATATATATTTTTATATATACAGAATTTAAGACTCCAATTATCTATAATCTAGGATATTATTTCTATTTTAAGTAAACTGTTAGTCTGAAAATAGGGCCAAAAGAAAAGCAGAATTACTCACAATTTTTTAAAATTAAGACTTTTGGGGGGGGCAGTTTTAGGTTTACAGGAAAAAAAAACTGAGCAAAATGTATAGAGTGCCCATATGTGACCTCCCCCAATTTTTACATCTTTTTGTGGTGATGAAATTGTTCTGAAAGTGATTGTGGCAATGGTTACGCAACTCTGAATATACTAAAAACCACTGAATTATATACTTTAAATGACTGAGCTGCATGGTACGCAAATTATATCTCAATAAAAATTTAAAAGAAAAAGTTTTTTAAAAAGAAAAATGTCTACCCTTTGACACAGAAATTCCACTTTCATAAACTTATCCCACAGACAGATTTGCTTACATGTGGTAAATGACACATGTGATACAAGGATATTTATTGCAGCAGTGTTTGTAATAGCAAAAGAGTGAAAATAACCTAAATATTCATCAACAGTGGATTTGCTACATAAATTATGGTAATCCATGCAATGGAACATTATGCAGCCATTAGAAAGAATGAGGTAAATCCATATGTACGGTAATCTCAAAGGTATGTTAGGCGGAAAAAAAAAAAGCAAGGTGGAAAACAATATGTATAGGTACTGTAGTAGGAAGAATAATGATTAACTACACCAGGATGTCCATATACTAATTTGGGGAAACTGTGACTATGTTACGTTACATAACAAGGGAGAATTAAGGTTACAGATGGAATTAAGGTTGCTAATCAGTTGATTCTGAAGTAGGAAGAGTATCTTGAACTATCCAAGTGAGCCTAATTTAATCAAATTAAGGATCTTATAAAATCCTTACAAGTGAAAGCGGAAGGCAGGGGAGTCAGTTTCAGAGTGATGCAATGTGAGAAAGAGTTGACCAGCAACTGCTAGCTTTGAAAATGGAGGAAGAGACCATGAGCCAAGGAACTCAGGCAGTCTCTAGAGGGTGGCAAAAGGCAAGAACACTGATTCTCCCTTGAGCCTCCAGAAGGAATGCAGCCATGCTGACACTAATTTTAGCCCAGTGAGACTCATTTCAAATTTCTGGCCTTCAGAAGGACACAATAATAAATTTGTGTTGCTCTAAGTCACTAAAAACTAGTACCTCTAAAAAACTAGTTTGTATGTTAAAAAAAAAAGCGTAAACACAACAAATGACAACATAGTATACAGTGGCATGTATACTATGATCTCAACTATATTTTCTTGAAAGTCAGAATAGTTAGAAAATATACCCAAAAGTTGCTAGTGGTGCCTCTTGAATATTAGCACTATGTAAATTTTCTCCCTACTTCAATATACTTCATCAATGTTCTATAATGAGCATTTATTATATTTACAATCAGGAAAACATTTAAACTGAAAAAAAAGAATATTATCACAACTATCTGATGTGACTACTTATGTTTATGTAAAAGAAATTGTAACCTTCTGGAGTATAACTGCTTGGCTTAAAACACCTCTAACTCTGGGGTTAAACAATAGACACAATTACCAGCCTCCCAAGGTTGTAAAACCAAAAGCTGGAAAAATGCTTGGCCACATTTCTTTGTCTGCATTTCCTACTCTCACCCAATTCCCAAAGAGGAATAAGACTGATCAAACTATTCCTCATTTCATCTGTTGAAATTATGGGTCAGGTAAACGTCACATTTCTTCTATTTCAACCAAGATCTCAAAAAGCAATACTCCTCCCTCCTCACAGTCCTTTTCAATATCACACCAGAAGTGCTAGCTAATGCACTAAGACAACAAAAAGAAATAAAAAGTATACAAATTGGAAAGAAGAAATAAAACTGCTTTGTTCACAGAGGACATGGCTATCTCTGTAGAGCAGCCAAAAGAATCAACACAAAAACTCCTGAATTAATAAGCAATTACAGCAAGGTTGAAGGATTCAAAGTTAATACACAAGAGTCAATTGCTTTCCTATTGACCAGCAAAGAACAAGTGGAATTTGAAATAAAAACACAATACCATTTACATTAGCACCCACTAAACAAAAATACATTGGTGTAAATCTAACAAAATATGAGAAAAACTACTCTGATGAATGAAATCAAAAGAGAACTAAATAAATGGAGATATTTTCCATGTTCATGGATAGGAAGACCTAATATTGTCAAGATATCAGTTCTTCCCAACTTGTTCAATAGATTCAAGCAATCCCAATCAAAATCCCATGAAGTTATTTTGTGAATATCGAGCAACTGATTCTAAAGTTTAAGTGGAGGTCAAAAACCCCAGAATAGCCAACATAATATTGAAGGAGAATAACAAAGTTATGACTCTATCCAACATCAAGACTTACTAAAAGGCTACAGTAATCAAGACAGTGTGGTACTGGTGAAAGAAAAACAAATAGATCAATGGAACAGAACAGAAAGCCCAGAAATAGATGTGCATAAATAGAGTCAACTGATCGTTGATAAAGGAACAAGGCAGTCTTTTCAATAAATGGTGCTGGAAAAAGTGGACCTTCACATGCAAAAAAATGAATCTAGACATAGACCTTACACCCTTCATAAAAATTAACTCAAGATGGATCACAGACCTAAGCATAAAATGCAAAACTATAAAACTCCTAGAAGATAATATAGGAAAAAACCAAGATGACCTTGGGTATGGCAATGACTTTTTAGATACAATACCAAAGATAACCACCCATGAGAGAAATAATGGAGAAGCTGAACTTCATTAAAATGAAAAACTGCTCTGTGAAAGACAATCTTGAGAAAATGAGAACACAAGCCACAGACTGGGAAAATTTATAATTGCCAAAACTTTGAAAAAGACACCTATGATAAAGGACTATTATCCTAAATATAGAAAGAACCCTTAAAATTCAATAATGAGAAAACAAATCTATTACAAAATGGGCCAAAGACCTTAACAGACATCTCACCAAAGAGGACAGACAGACGTCAAGTTTATGAAATGGTGCGTCACATAACATGTAATCAGAGAAACACAAATTAAAAAGAGGTACAACTGCACACCTATCAGGATGACCAAATTCCGGAATGCTGATACACCAAATACGGATGAGGATGTGAAGTAACAGGAGTCGTGATTCATTGCTGGTGGGAATGCACAATGGTACAGCCATTTTAAAAGAGAGCTTGGCAGTTTTTTTACAAAACTAAACATATTCCTATCATACAATCCAGCAATCACTACTTGATATTTACCCAAAGGAGTTGAAAACTTATGTCCATACAAACCCCCGCACACTGATGTTTATATGAGTTTTATTTATAACTGTCAAAACTTGGAAGCAACCAAGATATTTTTCAGCAGGTGAATGAATAAACTATGGTGCACCCAGATAACAGAATATTATTGTGCGCTAAAAAGGAATGAGCTCTCAAGCCATGAACAGACATGGGAAAACTTTAAACACATGTTACTAAATGAAAAAAAAAAAGCCAATCTGAAAAGGTAACATACTGTATGATTCCAACTGTATGACATTCTGTAAAAGACAAAACTATGGAGTCAGTGAAAAGATCAGTAGCTGTCAGGGGTTAGGGGGCAGAGGATAAGCACAAAGGCTTTTTAGGACAGTGAAACTATTTTGTATGACACTCTACCATGCATACATGTCATTCATACTATATTTGTCTAAACCCATCGCCGATACAGCACCAAGTGTGAACCCTACTGTAAAGTATTGACTTTGGGTGATAATGATGCATCAATGTAGGCTCACGGGTAACAAAAGTACCACCCTGGTGAGGGATGTTGATAATGGGGAAGCTATGTGTATGTCAGGTAGGGGGCATATGGAGACTCCCCATGTCTTTCGTTCACTATTCCTATGAACCTAAAACTGCTTTTTAAAAAATGCCTTTACAAAACAGCACAGTATTCTTGATATTCTTGGCTGCCCCAAAAGCTTTCCCCTTAACGCCCACGCCGGGAACTAAGGCTCTAGGCCAATTGATAGTGGGCGCACGATGAGAATGCGGACCACGAGATCCGAAAAAGGGAGGAGTGTCTCCAAAAGTTTCCCAAAGGGCCCCAACTATGGGCAATGGGAGGGAGAAAATGCCAACTGCAAGCCAATCACGTGGAGCTCGGTCTGGGACCGGGAGCCACGGGACTGGCGCTTACCAGGGCTCGCGGCGGTCGCTGTCATCGTGATGGACAGCCGCAGTCCACGCAGGCGCCGAGCGGTGGGCGCCGCCGCTGACTCGTCACAAGTGGCAAGAAAATCCGACTCTATAAACTACAGGAAGCCGACCGAAAAGCTGCCTCCGGCGGCCGCCTGGGAGGAGCCTTGGACGCGGAGGCGGAAGGGGCCTAGAGCGGCGCGCACGCGCAGAGGCTGCGCTCGAGTTTCGCTTGCGCGCGGGATTCCGGGCTGGTGTTCGCGTCCAAGTGTCGCGCGAGTTGCTCTTCAGAAAGGCAGTCAGGAAACGGGTCGTTCTGAAGAGCTCCGCGTCAGGGAAGACTGAAGGAGAGCCGAGGCCCCATGGTTGAAAGCAGTTGCTGTTGTGGGGTACGAATTTCCAAAGTTGGATGTGTTTTCTTTTTTTGATATTGGTAACATCCTGCAAAATGACGTGAAATCATTTTTCCGTAAAAAGGAGTATTTCAGCACAAGGAGACTGAAGTGATAACTTGAAGTTTTCTGTTTCCCTCTTTCTCACTCAGAAACACTTAGCAATTGGATCCTCCCAGCCACCGCCTTCTTTGCCCTCCATAACTACTTTCCACAGCCAAGCTGGGGCTGGAAAAAGCGTCAGTGGAGGCAGACTGATCTGAGTTAGCAACATGGCACTGCCTTTTTCTGGTTCTGTAACTCCAATACAGCTCAGTCTGTCACTTTGTAAAGTGAGAGTACATCACCTGACACAAACCTCAAATGGCAGCCCTTCTCGCCCAGCTCTTCAGATTTTAATATATTTCTTTCTAGACTTGAATTGTAATTATTTGAGTCTGTCTTCGGTCAGGCTTTGGTCTTATCTGGATTTTTTCTAGCTCAATCAAAAAGATTTTTGGAGTTTTAAAAAACACTAAACTTAAATAACTCAACTGACCTTAAAAGAATTTTTCTTGAGGTATACAGTTGATTGGCTTGTATTTGATCTGCATTTCCTTATGATAAAAAATGTTATACATTTAAAGTATACACTTAAGTGTAATTGTAGGCTTGTGCACCTGGCACCATGATCAACTTTAGAATATTTTCATCACTCAAAGCAGTCGCTCCCCATTTCCTTCCCAACTTTAGGAACCACTTTCTGTCTCTGTGGATTTACCTATTCTTGATATTTCAGATCAATGGAATTATACAACATGCAGTGTTTTGTGTCTGGCTCCTTACCATAATGTTCAAGGTTCATCCATATTGTGTCATATTTATTCTTTCTTCTGGACAAATAAAATTCTGTTATTTGCATATACCACATTTTATTTGTCCATTCATCAGTTAATGCATGGATTGTTGCATAGTTTCCACTTTTTGGCTGCTAATGAATAATGCTGCTATAAACATTCATGTACAAAATCTGTATAGAAGTATGTGGATGTATTTCTCTTGGGTATATAGGAGTGAAATTGCTGGTTCACATGGTAACTGTTTAACTTTTTGAGGAACTGCCAAACAGTTTTGCAAAGCAGCTATGTACCATTTTATATTGCCACCAGTAGTATATGAGGGTTCCAATTTCTCCACATCCTCAGCAACACTTGTTATTATCCATTTGTTGGTGTGTTTTAAATGATAGCATCCAAATTAACATGAAGTAACATCTCATTGTAGTCTGTATATCCCTAGTGACTAGTAATTTTGAGCATATTTTCAAGTGCTTATTGGCTTTTTATATATTTTCCTTGAATAAATGTCTATTCACATTATTTGCACATTTTTAATTGGGTTATTTGTGGAAGTTTTGTTGAATTGTAAAAATTCTTTATAAAGTGTGACTAAAGTCCCTTTAGGATATCTGATTTACCAGTATTTTCTCCCGTTTTGCAGGTTGTCTTTTCACTTTCCAGATGGTATCAGTTGCAGTATGAAGGTTTTTATGGCCTGTTGATCACCATATTAGGTCAGTATTTTCGTGGATTTTACAGTAACTGGTGCAATGAAAATTACCCTTCACTGTTCATTTTTTAGAGCCACGTAGTGGAATATGTAGCATGAAATATTGTCTGAGATTTGCTTGGAAAAAAATCAAAGGGAAAAAAAAGCAAAGAAATCAAGGGATAGATAAAGCAAAAGTAGAAAATCTTGATAATTGTTGAATTTGAGGATTGTTGTAAGAAGGGTACGTGGAGTTTCATTATACTATTTTCTCTACTTCTGAGTGTTTGGAAAATTTTATGGCAAATATGTGTCTGATTACTTTTTTTTTGCACAAAGGAAGAGTTTCATGTGTTAAGGGTATATGGTACATTGAAGAAAGAATAGAAGATGAAGAGCCTTATGAGGATTAGAGTTTGAAAAATGGGCATTGCTCTGACAGTTTGGAACTGCTTTTGATGACATATATAAGTAGGAATAAATGGTATAATATTGCTTCTGATTAACCCAATTGGGGTAGAGGTGGTAAGATTATGTGTATTAGAGGAGTGGAATAAGATGAGGTCATCTGTGGAAATATGACCTTCGATTCAGTGTACACTCTTGAATAAGAGTGTAGCTGGCCTTGGAATTTACTTTAGACTCAGCACTTAAATATATATGTATATTTATAAATATTAATTTATATTCAATATTCTATATATATATATATAATATATATATCTATCTTATAGTTTTCTGGCCTCTATTTTCTTATTGGCAAGTTTTCTGCTAGCCCAACTGCTAATTCTCCTAATTTTTACTCTCTGGTTGCCTTAGATTTTTTTTTAAATATGCCTACATGGGTAGCTTCCACTTACTTTGATCCTTGTCTTGGATTTATTCTGCAGTTCAGCAGACATTTTTCTACCAGAAGATGCTTAAATGTCATCTGCCAAATTGGGATTCTCTGCAATATAATTTAGTGCTAAAACCAGGGATCCTATTAATTATAAATTCCCTAAGTTGTGATTAAAAATGAACAAAAAACTAATGTAATTCAGTGAATTTTTAATGGCCCTCAGGCTTGAAGTTAGTCAAAGTGTTTTTGAGAATTGGGAATTTAAATATTTTATATCTCAGTTCCTTTAGCTGCTTTAAGTTTTTCTTTTTTAATTTAACAAATATATCAGGCATTATTGTCACTCACCCAATTAGCTGTGTTTACTTACAGGGCTGAGTGAATCATGAAAACACAGATTCATGGGATTAAAAATGAGTCTTAGTCATCATCTAGAATATGCACATTGGGTGTATTGAAAAGGGCGTTGGTCAGAATGAGACTTGGGCTAGTTTCAATTATGAGACCTCTAACTTTATAAGTAGTTCCTAAAACTAGGGCTTCATTTTCTTCATTAGTAAAAGGAGGGACATTGGATTAGATGAACTTTATACTTTCTTCCTTTTCTGAAATTATAAGAAGAATCATCAGAAATATGCATAATAAATTTAATATAGCTTACTTCATTGTTGGAAGTTACTGGAGAGTCGTAATTGCTAGAAAATTTTTCCTTACATTCCAGTTCATTTAGTTCCTAGATGTGTGACTTTGGGTGAGTTACTGTCTTATTACCCAGTCAATAAATACAATAATAAACCTCAGGGCAATTTTCCTTTTACTAAAGTCTGCTTTATGTGATATTAACGTGGCCACTCCAGGTTTTATTTTGTTTTTTAGTGTTTGCATCTTTTTACTCTTTAACCTTTATATACCATGATATTTCACGTGGTTTCTCATAGATAGCATGTAATTGTCTTTTTTTTTAATCTACTCTATGTGTTTTAATAGCCATATTAGACCATTTAAATTTAATCTTTCATTTTGTTGGATTTAAGTGTACCATTTATCATTAATTTTCTGTTGTGCCTTCTCTTTTTCACTCCTGTTTTCCTTTCTGGCTTTCTTTTGAATTATTTGAATATTTTTCAGAATCCTCTTGTTATTTTGGCTTTTAAAAATATGTCTCCATGCATATTTTTTTGAATGGTTGCTGTAGAGGATGTTGTATACCAAGTTATTTTTGTAATCTACCTAGAATTTCTTACCACTTCAAGAAAAATAAAGAAACTTTACTACCATACAGGGTCCTTTAGTACCTCCACATTAGGATGCAGTTCTCATACATATTAGGTTTATATACATTGAAAATCCCATCAATGTTATAAATTTTTTATTTCAGCATTATATGTATTTTAACAAACTTAAAAGGTGAAAAAGTAGTCTATTCTGTTTACTCAGATATTACCATTTCTGTTGCTCTCCCTTCTTTCCTGGCATTCCAGAGTCCTCTCTGCTGTCATGTCCCTTCCCTGTCAAATTTCTTTAGCATTTCTTTTAAGACACGTCTACTGGTAATGGATTCTCTAAGTTTTCCTTTTTCTGAAATGTCTTTATTGCACTTTCCTTCCTGAAGGACGTATTTGCTGGTTAAAGGATTCTGGGTTGATCATTTTTTTTGTTTTTTGTTTTTGAAGGCACTTTATAAACAGTGTGTCACTGTTTCTGGCCTCCATGATTTCTGATGAGAAATCTGCCATAATTCACATCTTTGTTTCCCCATATGTACAGTGTCATTTTCCTCTGGCTGTTTAAAAAACCTCTTCTTTATGTTTAGTTTCATCAGTTTGGTTGTGATGTGCCTGGGTAATGGTTATACTTCCCCTTTTTGGAGTTTGCTGTGCCAGTGGACCTGCTGTAAATATATAATTTTTGTAAATGTATATAAATTTATGCCTTTCACCAAATTTTGGAAGTTTTCAGTGATTATTTCTTCAAATGTTTTTTCTTCCAATCTTTCTCCACTTCTTTTGGGCTCCTATGACACAAATACTAGACAGTTAAAATATTGTTTTTTAATTAAATAGAGGTCTTTAAAATCTTTATTTTGGCCAAAGAAGAAAAAGATAATATAACAAAGACCCATGTACCCACCACCCAGAATGAACAAATGTTAACACAATTGCACCTTGTAAATACATGAATACAAACATGTATCAGACTAAGTACCGCACTCTTTTCTTCTCCAGCCCTTTCCTGCTTCCCTTTGCTCTCTCTCTTCTGTTGGATATTTTCTATATTAGTCCACGTTTCATCCTTATAGATAAAAGATACAGTGACAATATGTAGTATTGTTTTGTGAGTTTAAACACTTCCAAAATGATATCATACTGTAAATAACTTTCTGCATGTGTTTTAAAACCCTCAATATTGTTTTTAAGATGTATCAGTGTTGATATATATACATCTAGATCAGAATTCTAATACATGAATCTACAACATTTGGGCATTTTCCAATTTTCTCTTATTAACAGTACAAATGGTGCAATAAATATCTTCTTATCCACATGTGCTAGTTTCCCAAGAGAAGATAATGAGAAATGGGATTCTTTAATTATTCAGGTTTACGTCTAGTCAACCTTACCAGGTATTGCCTGATTACTCTTCAGAGTGCTTGTACTGATTTAAATTCCCATCAGCAGTGGATGAGAGTTTCTGGTTATGCATATCCTTGACAACGTTCATCTTGTTTGATTTAATTTTTTAAAAATTTTATTGTGGTACAGACTTTTTTAAAAACATTTTTTATTGAGTTATAATCATTTTACAATGTTGTGTCAAATTGCAGTGTAGAGCACAATTTTTCAGTTATACATGAACATGCATATACTCATTGTCACATTTTGTTTCTTTTTTTTAACATTTTTTATTGAGTTATAATCATTTTACAATGTTGTGTCAAATTCCAATGTAGAGCACAAATTTTCAGTTATACATGAACATACATATATTCATTGTCACATTTTTTTTCGCTGTGAACTACCACAAGATGTGGTACAGACTTTTTAGTATTGCCCCATAGGTCCTTGAGGTTCTCCATTTTTTTCCCACTTTTTTTTCTCATTGTTATTCAGACTGGATAGTTTCTACTCATGTATCTTCAAATTCACTGACCCTTCCACCCATCATCTCCATTCTACTATTAAGTCTCCTGTAAGTTTTCTAAATTGTAGTCTTCAGTTCTAAAACTTCTGATTCTTTTTACAGCCTTGATTTCTTTGGTGAGGACTTGTATCTTTCCATTCATTTCAATAGTGTTAAACTTTGCTTTGTAGAGCATGACTGAAATAACTCATGCTAAGTCTTTTTCTAATAATTCCAACATTTGGGTAACATCAGAATTGCTTTTTGTTCATTATCTTTTCCCTTGAGAATTGTTTATATTTCCCTAGTGTTTTGCATTTTAAATAATTTTGGATTATTATCTGGATATTTTGAGTATTACACAATTCTCAGTCCTATTTAAATCTTCATTAAAGGATTGTCTGTTTTAGCTGGCAGTCGATTCAGTTAGTTCAGACCGCACATCCTAGCCTGCTTTCTGTGGGCTATGGTTCCAATAATTTAGGTCTCAGTGACTTTGCACTGCCATTCTAATCTGCACTAATTGTGTACCACCCAGTGGCTAGTCTGAAACTGGATAGTGAGCTACATTATAGTTCGGTCTTCAAAACCTTTGCTTGGCTGTTTCTGGTCAATTTCACACATGCACAGTGTGGGGGTGATCTCAGGATTTTATATCCAAATTTAGAAGCTCCCTTTCTTCAGTTCCCTCCTACCTATGGTCTTCCTCATACTCTCTGGTTCTAAGGTCACCCTTCTTGATGTTCTGGCTAGAAGGCAGGGCTTCCACTTCCATACAGCACTGCCAGTTCTGCCCTGCCAAATCTGCCACCATTACACCAGAGGGGGAATCGGGTGCTGCCTTTTTGCTGTCTCTAGCTTGGTGCAGGGCAGGGAAGGTCCACACTGCCCCACAGGGTTTACACATGGTGGGGAGGGAGTGGTGCTGCTGCTTTTCTGCAGCTCTCCTGGAATAAGGTAAGTAAATTAAAAAAGATTCTGTATCATAATCTCAAACCCCCTTCTCTGTCCTCTGGCTAGAGAGAGCAGACTGTTGTTTATTCTGTTTGATATTTGTCTGGCTTTTTAAATCTGTGGAGTCACATCTTCCATCAGTTTTGAAAGTCTACATTATATCTAAAAATATTTGCTCTGTCCTATCCTCCCCTGTCTGTAGCTAATAATTAAGCAGATGTTAGGAATTCGCACCATATCCTCTGTATGTGTTTTTTCCATCTTTCCATCTTTTTGTCTCTCCATGCTGCATTTTGGATAATTTCTCCTAATTTATATTCTAGATTATAAATCCTCCCTATATTCTGCCATTAAACCTATTTATGGAGTTTTAAAGTTCATTTTTTACATACTCTTGCAACATTTGTATTTAGCTATTTCCCAGATCAGCTCCACCACTTTTTAGTTTCCTGTTCTCTACAGGTACTTCACACGACTTTCTCTAAACACAGAAAGCATTAGTACCTAAGACTATACGGGTTTAATTGTTTCTACTAAGTCTTGCTTCTGGAGTCTAGTATTTTTATGTGCCTTTTTTTTTTTTAACTGTGTGCTAGTAGATGTTGCATTTGAAAAGCAGTTTGAGGCCTACAATTAAGGCCATTACTTTTCTGTGGAGAGAAGTTACATTTTTATTCCTCCTAGCACCTGGAGGAGGCATCACCAGTAGGGGACAACCTTAAAGCAAATTAATGCTTAAGATTCTTTGGATGATGCAGGCATTTCCAAACTTGGCTATTTTACCTAATTTATACCCTGGGTCATACACATCCAAAGGCCGAAACCCTCCAAGGGAGTCTCAGCCTATTGTAGAGTTCTTCTGGTAGATTCACAATTCCTGTTAGACTAACTACCTTGTGTGGGCCTTGAATTTTGGTATCTGTCCCCTATACCCCATTAGATTGTCACATTAAGGCCCAAGGCTCACTTAACTTCTCTTTTTCTCTTTACTTTTGGACTGGACTTTCCATACTGTCTTATAAATCTCCTTTATATTTTAAGATGATTTTTGTATTTTAATCAGCTTTGGGTTTTCAGCAAGAGCATAGCTCTAAATATCCTAGCATGCAATTTCCAGAAACAAGAAGTTTCTCACAATTGCATCTTTGTTTTTACATGGCCAAACCCTACTCTTTCTCTTGGTATTCTGTGCACTTAGCACATACTGCTTGTGGCATGGAATCCATAAATGTTGATAAGAACTGTGCTGAATTTAGTCAAAGCAATTTTTTGAGCAATTTTTACTTACAGCTGCTCTAAGATATAGGTATCCTGTTTTAGTTATCAAATATTAGTTGCTGCATGTAATAAACCACCAGAAAACTTAGCAGTTTAAAACAACAGACAATTTATTATCTTACATGTTTTCTGAGATTCAGAAATCTGAGAGTGGCTTAGTTGGGTGGTTTTCATGATGTTCCAGTCCAACTGTTGGCTGGCGCTGCAATTTGAAGGCTTGACTGGGGTTGGAGGATCCCCTTCCACTCATGTGGCTGTTCTCAGGAGACTTCATTTGCTTGCCAAATGGCAGCTGGCTTCCCGAAGAATGAGTGATTCAATTGAAAGAGAGGGAGAAAGAGAAAGAGACAGACAGGGAAGGAGAGGTGGGGAGAGAGGGATGAAAGGAAGAGAATGAGTGGGGAGAAATGCACCAAAGATGGAAGCCATAGAATCTTTTATAACATAATCTTGGAAATGACATCCCATCCCTTCTTCTGTATCCTACTAGTCACGAAGACCAACTGTGGTAGTGTGGGAGGGGACTATACAAGATGTGAACACCAAGGGGTGGAGATTGTTGTGGCCTATCGTGGAGGCTGGCTAGCATCTTATTTTACCAAAAGAAAAAAAAAGAAGAAAAAACCTTTATTATATTTAGAGGTTCATAATGAAGCAATTGAATTAGACCTATTTTTTCATTTGCAAAAAGCGTGAAAATATGGTTGTAATTTTATCAATGTAAATGCAGAAAATGTTCCCCAAAAGGTGTTAAATATTAAATTGTGTATCATTCCAAGCTGAATTCAAAACAGAATATAAAGAGAAGATTGAAAACTACTGAAAATCTGATATGAAAAAAAAGTGTCAATTAGTGGTAAAAGGTTAGAATTTAGATGGTGAGGCTTAGTGTTAAGTAGGAAAAAAAAATAAAGGTTTTGAATATAGCTCAAATAAAAAAAACCCTTGCAAATATTTTAGTAATAAAAATTTGCTTTGAGAAAAATACTCTTCCTACTGAAATATGTGGTCATAATTCCAATAATGCATTTTCTTCATGCCTTTCTTCAATTAAGATTGCTTTTTATCAATCATAGTGATTTTAGAAGCAATGAAACATTCAATATTCTAAATATAAACCACCTAACTCAAGGTAATTGAGGAGATGACATGTAAACAGCATGCTATATATTGTATTAAAATGAAGGGAGAAAATAAAAATAGATATTTGTATTTGCTGCTACTACTGCACCTAAACCTTGGAAAGATATACAAGAAGCTAATACAAATGACTACTTGTTGAGATTGGAGACAAGAACAAGGTGGATACATACAAAGTGGGTGGTAAAACTTACACTGATAAATTTTTAACATTTTTTCTGATTTTTGAATATTTATGTATTACATAAATGAAACTTTCTTTTTTAATCACAAAGAAAAAAATTAGAGGTTTAGAGATTTCTGGTTTATGTCAAGGTATTTTCTTTTAAAAATTGAGTCAAGTTATCAAAGTTATGCTTGCTATTTTAAAATAAGTTGTATTCTTTACTTATAAAACAATATTTGAATCCAGGCTGTTATAAACTTAAGCAGTTAATACACCCTACCCAGG